CATCTTTTTTACTGCAAGAGCTCTTGAAACTAGTTCCATTTTGATGTTGGATACTTTATCGGAAAAGATTGCTAATTTCAATACATTAACAGTTTTCTTAGTAGTCTACGAACTCGACCTTGGATCGAGTCATATGTCTTTCTAGCATACCCAGCACTTAGAATAATTTCTTTTTTTGCTTTGATAATTATCGGTTGACCATTTGTATCATAATGTGCTTCTACTCCGACTGCCTTGTAGTCACGTTTATCTTCAGTACTTTTATCATTTTTTTCCAGAATGATTCGATCAACATAGACACCTGTTCGAACTGTAAGGTTTGGTTTGTCATAATGCTGAACGAAGTCAGCACTTGTACTTCGAATACCATTGTGAACTGTACGTACAACATGTCCAACACCTAAACAATTGTTTGATGAGTTTTGAACAAAGAAATGAACATAACAAACCTTCGTGAGCACCCTGCACAAACATATCAGGTTTATACTCAAAGCCACTGTCAATAAATGATTCAAGAACTTTTTCCGAGATAGGTGCAAGAGGATAGGGTTCGGTATGCAATGGTCCACTAGTACCATGAACAGTCAAGTCTGCCTGATGCCATTCAACTGGATGAAATGTCTCAGATGCTTTGAAATATGGCAACATTTCTTCCCAACTCCATCCTGGATTTCCCATGGCCGCGATTCGATCATAATCTGCTTTGGCACCTCGAATAAGCAATGTACCATTGATTGCACTACATCCACCAAGGCATCGAGCACGTAAAGCGTACATAATACGATTATTGCAACCTTTTTGAGCACTAGTATCATAGTTCCAATCGTACGACCTTTCCTTATACGCAGCCCACCTACCAGGTACACGAATATGAATGATCTCTTCGTCGCTGTCACAAAAGATTATTCGATCAAAATTATGAAACGAGAATGCACACGAACAAACCTTGGACCAGCTTCGAGAAGACATACAGTAGAGTTTGTATCTCCTTCTGCTAAACGTCGAGCTGCAACTGCACCACTTGTTCCGCCACCAATCACAATGTAATCGTAAGTAACAGTGTCATCCTTTATCTGAGTCATTCTGGAACATGGGCAATAAAAACAGTTTAATGATCTTATGATCACCACTACTGGAAATGTGCTTATCGAAGAAATCTTTTAGTTGACTTAAAATATGAGTTCGAAAAACTATTCAGCAACTTGCAAAATAACTCCACAAAAGTTAAAATCCTCAGTTTCCATTCCAGGTATTCTATAGATCTTTCAGAAATTGTTGTCTTTTTCTGGAGATATGACGAAAGAATTTGAAGTGAAGACACTCAATCTTTCTAGAAAGGTTGCTTCAAGCGTTCCAATTGTCAGTGTTTATCTTTGTGGCCGAAGAAATTTATGTAATCGAATTCGAATGCAATAGAGTTTCAATCAAACTGGAATCATTCTAAAAGATAGGTATTGAATAGAAGTCTGATACACACTTAGTAAAGACTTTCATTTATGCCTGTAACATCCTAACATATTCCCTTAATCCTATTCTTTTCTCATTTACTGACACTGTAGTCGTGTTACTTTAGATGATTCGTTCATTGAAAATAAAACTGCAAGAGAATAAGAATTTATTTGACCATAGACAAAACTGAATCGAGAAATGAAATTTGAACAATTGTTATTTATTGTTTGTACAAATTCATTTCTGTTCTTGAGTACTATCCTTTCTCTGGAAAGAATTCCATTTAAAATCGAACTGGCAGCACACATTCTTTGCAAGCAAACATACCGTAGTTTAAACTAATGTCGTTTTATTTCTATTTAACGTGTTAATACCTGTCCTCCTTATCAGATATAGCAATTATATTTAGGGCTGTTCTTTTGCGTCAAGATAACGGGTTTTGTTTTTGCTTGGTAACGTTTGATAAAATAATAGCAAGTATACTATTACAAGGCGGACACCTGTCTAATGACATTTGGTTAAATACACCATTACTCTCTTTCTATATCAGCATGCTTCATATTATCTTCCTCGTTCTAGATTATTCTCTCTATTGTTCTTGCTCTCAGGCTCTCTATATGTTATTCGATAGTTAGTTGGTGAGAAAGTAAACTCATAGATAACAACAATATTTGAAAACATGCACGAAAAATATATGCATAGTAACCTAGTTGTCAATATATTGCGCGGGAAGGATCGATACTTGTCAATACTCGGCTATTCTATTGTTTGAATAGACATATAAAAATAGATTCTTGTTGAGTACATCAATTTAAGTTAATGTAACCGAGCTGTTATTGATATAGGTCGTAAATTATCTTGGAAGAGAACAAAAAAACCATGCAAGTAATAGGGTTTTTTTTTCGTTGAATTGTTAGGATATAAAAGTACTCAAGGTTTTTGAGAGAGCAAAGCAACGAGCATTTCTCGACAATCTATAGAAGAAGTTAGTTATGAAAAATAGAAGAATAAGAGGTTACATAAAAAACTATAGTCATTACAATGTACTTACCAAAACTTATCGTATGATTTGTCATGTGAAACAAACTTATTGATGTGTTTCATCTTTTTTAATGGCACAGCGATTGATTGACAAAATATTCTTGACATGTTCCAAAGGTTTTTTTTACCTTATTTTTTTCGAGTAAAAAGGTCATCTTCCAACAACATAGGAAATCAGCACATTTACCGATGATGGTTCGCTTCTGGTTGACCAGGAAGTTTGATTATCAGTAGTTAAAGAAGAGATGGATGAATATCATGAACTGTACAAGTACTAGACTTAGTACTATTGAATTTCTTGTTATAGAGGTATATCAATTATCTAAATATGAAAAAGGCAAAATTTGTGTATATTCTATAGCTTTCAAGAGTACTTTTGAAGTTTACTCGTACTAATAAAAATTCGATTTATGACCTCACCAGTTAAAAGTCATTGCTCAATACAGTTAACAAAAAAATAAGGCTATACGAAAAAAGTATTTAGTTATATTGTATAACAATTGACTTATGTTGCTTTGTCAATTCAATGAATGGTGAGAATATTGAAATCATTAAGATTAAATCTTTAACAAATTGAATAATGACTTAAACAAACATGCGATTATGTAAACATTGCGTTTACCAACTGACAAACTCCCAAGTGGAAAAATCTGAGTAACAAATTGTACAATCTCACAAAATCATAGAAACATATTACTATAAGATCCTATTATGAATTTTACATTATATTCTTGCGTAGTCTGATGATCGCACTCTTGTAAGATCTGCGTCAAATATCACCATCCATAGATGGAATAGTACGAAAAAAATTTATCAGTTCAGTATCGGTACGGATTTCACACAGACCGATACCGGTTGTGAAAAATCCAAACCCGGTTCATTTTAGATGCTGATCTGCTAAAAACAAATCACTCCGCAAATAATTTAATCAATGCAATTAATTCTTAAGAAACACGATAATAAAAGCCAAAAATAGAACAAATTAAATATGTAACATCGTGAGAAATCTTCAAAAATCATACATGAATAGTATAAGATTTTGACATTAGGATTATTCACAAGTCAAACAGGCAATTCTATCAGAAAAAAGTAGCTTTCAGATTGGCATATATCCTACAAGATATCATAATAGAATTGATTGAACTGAGTTATTCATACAATATAAATTGTATATAAAGTGTTTGTGAGTTAGGTTAGAATTGTACTTAAATTAATAAAGTGTAATAGTAAGAATAAAATAGAAGAATGAAGATTTAGATAATGATCTACCGTAGAGTGACATCTGTCTAACTATAAATATACCCATATACTTATTGCTTTATTGTTGACTTGACACATTAATTTTCCATTTCTCATTCTTCATTTTTTTTCATCGAATGATAAATCGACAAAAAAAAAAAAACTTAATTAAAAAACAAGTCTCTATTAACTATCACGAAAATATACTATTATTTTTTTTTTTACAATAAATAATCCTTCAACATGCTTCTATTTTATCATGGAAACATAATCCATCGTTATCAATTCTTCACACCTATTTAAATCCTTGCGTTTTGAATCATAATATTCCAACTCGATAATATTTTTTCTTTTTTTCGTATTTTCAAGATATTATTCATCAATGAATATTAAAATGAAAATATTTAATAGATTGGATTATTATATCTACTGATACGATTATTAAAAAAATAAACAATACTATTAATATGATTAGTAAGTATAACATAAAAAAAAAATAACTGCAACTTTGTATCATATGAAAATCGTTTTTATTTTCAAGTAATACTATAGAAAAAAAGAGAAAATCTTGAATATTCTTATAATTTATTTATATGATATGATAACCTTGTTTGAATTTATTACTAATAATATGATCAAATATTTCCTGTAGCATTAATAATATGCACAGATGATTAAACATATTCTTATCATGTAATCAACGAGAAAAGATAATAATAATAAAAAAAAAAAAGCTTTTGAAATTATTTATTCATGAAGCACTCGAGAATTAGATGATAAAGTTTTTTCTTTTTATATTTAGAATGGTACATCGGTTCTCTTTGAATGACATTTGCAAATAACCTTCTCATAAAAATTCAGATAAAACTTTAAGCATTTTTCATATAGAGATACAAAAACATGAAACTAATTGTATATTTAAAAAAAAAAAGCAGCAAAAGTGGATATTAACAGAATTTCTTATGATCATATTTCAAGCATTTAGTTTTAATATCGAACAACTATTTCTTTTTTCTTTTCGTTCTACAACAAACATCTCATCATTATATATATGTATTACGTTAATAATATAATACGAAAAAAAAATACTTCATCTACTTCAAGTAACACTAGAAGCTTGACTGAAAAATACACGTCAGATGAAAATTGCCATGTAGTTAATATGCAATACATCATAAAAATCATTTTTTCACATAGCATATTTATTAATTTTTCTTCGTAGAAAAATAAAACGAGTTTTTAGACGTACTGTATTTGTTTTTGTTTCATAAACAATAATCAAAGATTGCAATCTAGTAATCTTTTTCGGATCATACAACTTAAATCAATATTTCTACATATGAAAAATTTTCATTAAACAATTTAAATTATTTAAGTTTAAGAATAATAAAATGTTTCATTTGTAAAAAGAAAAAATGATATCAGTAACGAATCTTTCAAACGATATTAAGATTATATATTGTTCGTTTTCTATGATATATTATCACAAAATGATTTATTAGAATTTTCGAATATTCTATTTACTATACATCTACTTAATAATCAAAGTTAATAAAAATAGTTTCATTGCCATGTGAAGTTAACCGATAAGAATTTACGACCTAAATAGTGATCTATCGAACGAAAAAAGAAATATTTTTTAATGCTTTAATCTTTTCTTTTATTTAACAACAACTATCACATCTTTCTGTTATAAAAAAAAAAAGAAAATTCTATTTACCTATCGTTTCTATTGCCTTTAAGTAATGCTTGATGACTTAAAACATATATATTTTTTTCTTTTTATTTCGAGGTGATTGATTACAAATAGAGTAAAAAAAAACAACATCGGCATGCACATACGAACTCCTGCTGTTTTTGTATAAATATAATTATTTGTTTGTTCAGTGTCATATATTTTGAATAAGAAAAAGAAAGTAGACTTAATATGAGAGAAAAAAAAAAGTCTTATGATTCATATTTATAGTTTTATATAATCAATTTTAGATGAAATGAAAATATAACGAATGATAAATCAAACAAGTAAATATAATAAATATTTTATATAAATAAATATACCTTTTTTTTTTGTTGTTGAATAGAACAAATTGATATTAATATAAATCATATTAAAATTTCAACAGAAACTCGATTAACTATACCAATAAATTCAAATGAATTTACTATTGGAGTTTTATTAGCACTTGCATCTAGTTTATTTATTGGTACAAGTTTTATTTTAAAAAAGAAAGGTTTACTTAAATTAACTATTTATAATGGAGCAATACGAGCAGGTTTATTAATAAAAATTATTCAAAATTGATTTATTTATTTATTTTACTAATATATAGGTTCAGGAGGTTTTGGATATTTA